CAAGGGGAGGTGGCGGGACACATTTGAGAGGGGGCATTGCCCTCAAAACCGGGATTGATCCCCCATGTCTCCACTCACAGCTGCTGGATGACCTTGGGCCAGTCACAAGTTCTCTCAGAGCTGCTCTCTCATGGGCAGTCCTCGAAAGGGCTCTCTCATTCCCACCTGCCTCTCAGGCAGTGTTCCCTCTAAGCTGAGCTAGTGTGAGCTAGCTCACAGTTTTTTAGCCTCCAGCTCACACATTTTTGTCTCCGCTCAGGAAGGATGGCTCCAGAGCAAACTAATTTATGCCGTAGCCAAATCGCTCGCTCACAGCTTTAATGCCAGTAGCTCACAAAGTAGGATTTTTGCTCACAGGACTCCACAGCTTAGAGGGAGCATTGCTCACAGGGGGTGTCTGTTGTGGGGAGGGGAAGGGGAAGGAGTTTGTCAGCCGCTCTGAGACTCCAGGTGAAGGGCGGGGTATAAATCCAATCTCCTCCTCCTCCTCCTCCTCCTCTGTTAACTGCTTCTTTGTGAGAAGTGCATCTCTGGACCGGCCCTGTTGCCAAACTGCTATTAAAGGCACTCTCAAAATGTTAATGGACAAATAATATGTACAAAGAGAGACTGTTTTGTAGATTAGATTCCTTAATGGACTTTTGGGAAGTGGAGGAAGTAATTCACCTCCACAGTCGCACACTGTTGCCCACAGCAGCTGTAGACTGGGGAATGTCTTGTAGCAAAATGGTGTTTTTTATTTGTGTGGACATGAGGTCAACATGCTTTGCAGGCGTTGCATTGTTGGGTATATCTGATTTTCCTCCTCCTCCTCCTCCTCCTCCTCCTCCTGGATTCCAGTGACATTAAACATCATTGCTCCATAAGGAAAACAAGAGTATGTTTCTCCTCGTCCTCCCTGGGGTCCCCCCCCCAAATTGTTCTAAAGAATCTGGTCCAGCCAAGATCTGCTCCCTTGCATTTTCTGGGAAAGCAGGTGATTTTTTAGTTAAACCTCCAGTTCCCACTGGGGGAGGCTCCCGGCTCTGGTGCCTGACGCTCCGGTTCTCTCGGTCCAGGTGCCCCCGACCCCACGGCTGGGGCCGGCATCGAGGACGCGAACTGCTGGCACCTGGACGAGGAGCAGATCCAAGAACAGGTCAAGCAGCTTCTCTCGAACGGCGGCTACTACGGGGCGAGCCAGCAGCTGCAATCCATGTTCAACAAGGTAAGAAGGCTTGGTCGGCGCGGATCTCTTCCCGTTTTTTCATGGAGGTAGGTAGTGTTCAGTAGATGTTAAACTGTCCGGTCCAGCGGTACCAACCCAGCGCTGTATTGTGGCCGGATCTTCCGTAGGGCCATCTCCTTGCTCCATTTGTTACCAACACTGTTGGTAGTGGTGGTAGTGGTAATGGTGGCTCCTTCATAAAAGCCTGGCGGAAGAGCTCCGTCTTGCAGGCCCTTCGGAACTGTGCTAGGTGCGTGTGGCCGCAACCTTTGCCCGCTCTCTCCGCCCCAGGCATCCTTTTATGCAGAGGGAGGTTGGGTATGATGCGGCGGCGGCAGCGGTGGGGTATTCTCAGTGACTTGTGAGTCTGCAGCTTTGGGGTGGGGGGGAAAGGAGCTGGTG